CTGAGTGGACATCCAAATAAATCTGGTTTGCTGCTGCTTCGGAATGGTCAATCCCCGTGGAGGTAAAGGATTAATGGACGCTGTAGCCCCAGCTACATCAAGCAATGCTGCTTCACATGCGTTAGCAAGTTGCGTGTGCCAGGCAGGGATTTGCATCGCATCTCATGCGGTTGGAAATGCAGAGGAACATTTCTTATGGCCTGTCGATTGCTTCAGCGAATCGGCATTTTCTGAAAACACTACAGCAGTGCATGGACAATCAACCAGTGAGAAAGAATGCAGGTCTGCAACATGGACAGCAAGGTGAAGTAGCCTTTATCAATTTGAGTGCCACATATTTTCTGTGATCAAGCAGCGTCCATGGATGTGGGTCGGATTGGTGGCATCGCCATGGTACTCACGACCCAGCAGCATCGAATCCGGTTGGGGCTGATGATGAGTCACAGACGATGTCGAGAATGCCGTACAAGATAAATGAAAGACCTTTTTTGGAGGAAAGACTAGGTGAAATTTAACTGCATCGTGAGGCAGTCATATCAGTGTGGGCAAAGCCAGTCAATAAGTTGCGAAATCACTTCAAGCGGCTTAAGGTGACTAGGTTTTTAGTCAAGAATACTGATAGTATTGAAACAAATTTGAATAGAAAAAAATTCTATTAAAAAAGGAAAATTCCCGAAGACTTTTATATTGAAGGCATGTAGAAAAACTGGGTTTCGAAGAATCCCTTAATACAGTGATTCCCAAACTGTGCGCCGCGGCCTCTTAACAGGGGTGCCACGAAATACTGTAAAAACTTCATAATTAATTTCACCCAGACATTTGGCCTAACTAAAAAAAGCGAGAGAAAATGCTACGTCTTTTCGATCACACCATATGATCGCACTAGACACGTCGAGCTGCGTAGAACCTTCGCGACAGATTTGGAATGTTCTGGAAGATCTTGCTGAAAGTATATAAGCAAGCGTTGCCGGCTCGATTCAGTCAGTCGACTTATAATTTGAGTCTAGTGAAGTTAAACTCAGCGCTTCATACATAAATAGACAGAGACCTAAGTTAGTAAATGAGTTCGTATTGTAATTTACTTAGTGTTATATTACTTCTTGTTTGTTGTCTTTGATAAATAATCTTGTGATTTTTGGCTCTTGTATCTTTGATAATAGACCGATTTTTGAACAGTTATGAACGTAATAGTGTAGATAAAGAAAGTATGCCTTTAACCAGTTATCTTGCGATAACAGTTTGAAAGCAAAATTTGGCAGCATGGAATTGACAGAATTTTGGATTCCAATAAAAGATGAATATCCTCTTCTAAATGATAAGGCTCAGCGGATTCTGATTCCAGTTTCGACGTCGTATTTGTGCTAAGCTGGGTTTTCAGCGGTAGCTGTAATGAAAGGCAAGTATAGAGCAAAAATCAACGTGGAAAAGGAAATGAGGGTGGCCGTGTCCAGTTTAATTCCACGATTTGAGAAAATGTGTAGTGATTTGCATGCTCATCCATCACATTAATTATTAAATATTACTTTAATGTTAATAAAGTAAAAAAATAATGAAGATACGTGTGTTTTATTTATTTTTATCTCTTATTTACGAATAGTCATACTTAGGGTAGGGCGCCATGGGAAAATTTTAATTGAAAAAGGGCGCTGCGACTAGGAAAAGTTTTGAAACCACTGCCTTAATAGATAGATGTTGGATTACCTTTAACTTCGTTTGAAGAGACAAGTGGAAGCCCAGTTCGAAACCCAGTTTTTCTATATACGTACGTAGGACGTCCAGATATCACTGTTTCTGAGAATCATTACTTTACACTAAGATCAGGAAAGCACTGGGCCGATAAATTAACTATATTCGATTTTTTAAATTATGCTTACCTCGTAGGGTTGTTCTTAGATTTTGTATCATTCGAGTCATTCAGAGAACATCCCAGGAATTTGTTAGTATTATGACCCAAGTATAAATTATAAAATTACACTCTAGATTACGCCAATAATGGCAGGTACTCTTAGCTCGGAAGAGTTCTCTAAGGTACAGAGAATTGCGGACAGGTTGTGTGATAGGGTTTTTCAACAGGTAAGATACATACATGATGAGAAGTTTAGGAATTTGA